CTTCAAAATTTCACCAACTGCAAAACCATATCCAATCTCCTGTCTCAACCATCCATTCACAAGAGGTGTAGCCTTTGCAATTTGTTCACAGAATTTTGTAAACACAAAAGCTCCCCAATCCATACGCTTATTACTCAAGATAGCATTCATTAAAATCAACTCCTCATGGTTGTATGAATCTCGACTAGAAAACTTAGTCTCAATGCACTTAGAAATAATATCAAGCAGCAAACAATAATCTTCCTTCAACAAACACCTCTTCCCATTAATTTTCGGGTCTGCCGGTGCATCTTCACGGCGTATCTCACCCCAAAATTCATCTAAGTCAAATTCATGATTTTCTAAACTAAGTTCAGAGTTATGAAAACCAAACGCCTTCCTAAAATCATTCACATCAATACACACATCTACATCCCCAACTTTGGACACAACAGAATTATTCTCAATTTTAGCATGCAAGTAAAATTGGGTAACTTCCTTCTTAAAATACCCAGCAAAATTGAAGGTGCATAATCGTAACAAGCCACACTCTTCTAGAGAATTGATAATTTTTACCGACAAGTTGTTGCATTGTGCTTGATTTTTGAAGGCTTGAACATCGAGAATCATCCCGCTCACAACCTTCTTCTTCCGCTTCTTTGATGCTTTGGCAATGGGCACTTCTTCTCCGGTTAGGCTTTGTTCAATTTCCATTGTAGATGATTGAGAAAATAAATTCTGCTTGTCCCAAACAAAAATTTCGGCAGTTTTGGGTGAAAAAGAAATTGAATGGGTCTTTGGATTTTAAGAGGCTTTGGAGTGGGTTGGTTTGTCAAGGAATGTAATGGGTAGAATGGGTTTATGCAGAGTATTTGGGAATGGGAAATAAAGGCCTTGGGAAATTTCAAATTTGCCCCTTAGTGGGTACAGAGAGGTTTTCGAGAATTTGTGGGCAATTTCGAAATTACACACGGTGTAAAACTGATAACTGAGAATTGAACACTCCAATCGTAGCCTCGTAGGTACATAGCCCTAAAAATTAAATTTCAAATAATCGCTAACCTAAAGAATGTTAGTGGAGAAATACTATGGAAAATGTGCCCGTTACTCTGTTGTTAGTGCAATAAATATTTCGAATATAATTTTCACCTCAAATTCAATTTTTCAAAACAAACTGATAAATTCTTGTGTCAGAAGAATTATCCAAAGCAAATTCATTTTCCAAAAATAGTTAATGAATTTCATCTTACGTTTTCTACAGAATTGAACACAACTTTTTAGAAAGTTTGACTTTTAAGGTCAAAATTAAAATTAGAGATTTGGGAAAAACTATTTTGAACGAAATTGATTTTGGCAAAATTTCACAAATTAAAATTAAGGCTTGTGCTCAACCAATTAAAACATATAAAAGGATTTTTGAGCAAAGTTTCCCTAAATTATATCTAGAAACAAAATAAGTGTGAATGAAAGTTATACCCCTTATTTATGTCCGTTTTTTCCGTTAATTTTTTTTTGTACATTAAAATATTCTGGACAAACATACCCCTACCGTTATAACTTCCGTTATCTTTTCCACTATTGTTACCATGCACATGCATCCACCATATATTTTCTTATCTTCTTCATTAATAATAATATATAAACATTGTATATTTGAGTTATATATTAATTATTATATAAAATATAAGTATCAAGTTTATAAAATATAATGTATTAATATTGGGCACTTATTTTTTGCGCATCGCGCATAAAAAAAATACTAGTACTCACATAAATTCGAAAACAAACTAAGCAAATTTCATGCAACTTTTTACGTAAACATTTATGTCAAAATATATGATAATTTGCGAAATAATTCATGAAAAAATGTGCATGTTGATAAATGACAACTTTGTACGTAAAATATGCAATAATTCACGTAAATCACGTACATTCCATGCAAAATACACGTAATACATATACTTGTGCAAAATTTCGAATTTAAGAGTTTCAAAATACTTTAACTCATTTTAATCATTCACATTTCATGCCTTAAGGTTGCGAAGCGAGATTCACATAGCGGTTTTGTGAGAATATCGACAATTTGAGTTTTCGTGGGAATATATGATTGATTTTCAATTCGTTCTTTTCGACGTGATCACGAATAATATGGTGTCTAACGTCGATGTGCTTAGTTCGTGAATGGAGTACTGAATTTTGAGAGATCACAATCGCACTTGTATTGTCATAAAATATGCAAAATCTTGCAATATGTTCAAGGGCAGACACATTGACTTTAATCACGACCCGAACCGTTTGGCCACGACCCAACTACAAAATGAGAGCACGAACATATAGAGAAGTAAAAATTAGGTATATTCCTTATCAATGGGTTTGATGAGGATAGTTATGCAATGGACTCGGGTCAAAATACACAATTTATATACTGAATGTTCATAATTTACATACTGATATGTTTACGATTCAAATTGTGAACATCAGTATGTAAATTGTGCACATTTAGTATATAAAAATTGTGAACATTCAATATGTAAATTGTAAACATTCAATATATAAATTATGTTTATATAGGCGTTATTGGTTCTTTGTGTTTGAGTAGGTTGAGAAAGTATATGAACAGATACTACAATGTAATAGAGCCAGTAACTTTCAAAAAATATATATAAATTATGTATTTTTAGATTCAAATCCACTTTGTAACGTGGACTCAGCTCCACAAAATAATTTGTCGTTTGAGGAACAACCTCATCTTGAGGCCCACAACTTGATCTTATTTTTAAATAAAATATGTATCACTCGAACATTTCAATTCTGATTAATTATGCCTCTACATCTATCCAACATATTAGACTATTAGTAATGAGGTCATGCATTAGGACGAGCTAATCACAAAATAGTAAGTTTGAGGAATAACCTCATTATGACATCTACAACTCGGTTTATTTCTAAACAAAATATGTACTAAGAAATTACACGTAGATAGTATTTTTTTTTTATTAAAAAAATATCGTAAATAATTGCTAAAAAATGAAAAAGTGTAAAATAGAGAAGCTATGGTTGTAAACGCGAATGAAGAATCGAGAAAGAAAATATGGAAGATATGAAATTAGAGCTTTGAATTTTAACTTGAAAGTGTCAAATGATTACATGTAATCCAAGTAGGATATATATATATATATATATATATATATATATATATATATATATATATATATATATATAATCCCTAACATGGCGTTTGGTTGGAGGGAATTTAAATTCCCTTTCCACTTAATTCTCACATAATTCCAAAGGCCACAAAATTCCCTTGTTTGGTTAAAAGGAATTGCAATTCTCCCATTTTCATTGGATTAATTTTAGGAAGAAAAAAAAGATAGTGATGAGTCAAAATTACCCCTCCATTCTTTAACCTAAAATTAATGCTTGATAATAACAATGGACATTTTGAACTTTATACTACTTATTCTCTTTCAATTTTCGTGTATACTAAACATTGGAATTGAAATTCCCAGAATTCTATTCATGTAAACTAAACACTAGAATTTAAATCATATATACCTAAAATCTTTTCCAGCGAATTTGTTGCAGCAACACACCTTCCAAAGCATACCTAAACTCATTCGTCCAAGCCGTCGCCGGCGATTTATTAAGGTTTAGATGGTCAAAATTCCGGTTGAAAATATCTTGTCGTTGTGTAAGGGAAGCTTGAGACATCTGCAGACCTAGAAATTTCTGAACTGCACTTCTCTTTGTGCTAATCCAGCGCACCTCCTGCAAAAAAACAATTCAGTTGAAAACATCCAGCAGCACACCTCCCAAAGCATACAAAACACATTTTCACCCCTGCAAAAATAGGTTTCATGGCACGATCGAAATCGACATTGGATTTCAGCATGCCTCCCAAGGTTTCACCGCAGCAGCATCATCGTATTCTCGTAAATCAAAATTGAATTAAGGTTAATTAAGGTTTCTTGAAACTTTTTAAGAAAAAGTACATGTACATGTAAATGTCTTTGTCCGAAAGTTTTTTACGGCATAAATGGCAGGAGCTGAGGAAATCAAAAATCCGGGCACGCAGGAATATTGCCGAGCATCGCCGGAGAAATCATGAAAACGCTTGGTTGCTTCTGGAGCTTGGGACTTCATCGTAGACTGGTGTATGTTTTTTTGGGGGTGTACAATTTTGTGTCAGAGCCATAAAACATGGTGGAAAAGATAGATTAGAGAAGAAGCAAAGATATCGCAATGACTAAAATAATCTTATTTTAATTATTAAAAATTTTAGACGAAATTTGATCAGAGTGATCGAAATTGATAAAAATTACATATTCAGGTACTAAATTGACACTTTTAAAAGGTTAAGAACGGCAATTAACAAGACCCCTATAGTCATAAGACCAAAATTGAAATTTTCACTTTTTAATATTATATTGTTTGTTAATGCAATAATACAATACAATTTATCTCAATGATAATGAATACAATTTATGTTCTAAATTTCAATAAGACATTACATTTATTTATTTGAGACATAAAATATTCACTTCCATTTTTTTGACACATTCTTATTAAGAGAGTAAATGTTGGATGCAAAACATGGGAACAAACTCTTAGAGGGAAGGATCAAGAGCCAGATGAACTAGCTATGATATCATAAAATTCCAAAAAAAAAAAAAAAAAAAAAAAACTAAATAATTCTAAATAATTACTCTGGACTATAAATAAAATGGAAAAAATCAAACATAATCTAAAATAATGTTAGAAGTTCTATCATCACCATCAGCATTTGGTTTGATCAAGTACGGTGTTTAACAGAAATGGTGATGTACGCAAGGTGGAAGAAAATATCTAAACAAATTCATTTATTCAAGATGGTTCTGGAAAAATGAAGGACGGTGTTTATATACAAGCAGGTCGGTTGTAACAGAATAGAAAATAAGATGATAAAGGTCAAATTTTCCCTCCTTTGTTCTCTTGAGCTTCATCACTTTTATTCTCCAACACCCCCCCCCCCCCCCCCCCTAAGTTGGCGCATGTAGATCATGCATGCCCAACTTAGATGTAAAGGTCTTAAACAGAGCAATGGGAAGCGGCTTTGTGAAGCCATCTGCTATCTGATTCGAAGAGGAGACCAGCAAGAGCTTGATTAAGTCATTGGACACCTTCTCCCGGACAAGGTGACAATCTATTTCGATATGTTTTGTTCTCTCGTGGAATACATGATTCTCGGCTATTGCTATTGCGGATTTGTTGTCACAGAACAAGGTTGCCGGTTTCTGCATGGGTGCATGCAAGTCTTGAAGGAGGAAGGTGATCCAGTGGACTTCACACACAGTGGATGCGAGCGCACGATATTCGGTTTCAGATGAAGACCGTGATACCGTCGCCTGTTTCTTCGCCTTCCAGGAAACAAGGGCAGATCCAAGGAAAATACAGTAACCAGTTATTGATTTCCTTGACTCTATGCAAGCTGCCCAATCTGAGTCTGAAAAAACATTAAGGTGTAGAACTTCACCTTTTGGATAAAACAGCCCCTGCCCTGGCACATTTTTGAGATACCGGAGCACTCTGTGTGCAGCGGACAGATGTTTGTCAGTTGGAGCATCTATGAACTGGCTCAATTGTTGGACGGCATAAGTGATATCCGGCCTTATGGCTGTGAGGTAGAGAAGATGGTCGACTAGGCGTCTGTAGCTGCTAATGTCACTTAGAATCGTACCATCATCATGGTGAAGGTGATAACCTTGTACCATCGGAGTATTAACCGATTTACATCCAAGGAACCCTGCTTCGGATAGAATATCAAGTGCATATTTTCTTTGGCATAAATTTAGGCCTGAGTCATCTATTCTTGCATCAATTCCTAGGAAATATCCTAGTTCCCCTAAATCCTTGATTTTGAAAGCATCATCAAGCCATGATTTGAGATCTTCAATCATATGTAGGTCAGGACTCGTAACCAGTATGTCATCTACATACACTAAGACTGCCATGAACTTGTTATCTTTCCCTCTGGTAAACAATTACGGGTTTGCTTTGGACTGACCAAATCCCATGTTGATAAGGGCAGTGCTTAATTTGGCATTCCACTGTCGGCTTGCCTGCTTCAGGCCATAAAGGGAACAGAGAAGTTTACAGACCTGATTTGGTTTTGCACTTTGGAATTCGGGGGGTAGCACCATATATACATCTTCTGTTAAATCACCATGTAAAAAGACGTTGTTGATGTCTAACTGGTGAATGTATCAAGCTTGGGATGATGCCAAAGCCAAGAACGTTCAGATTGTTGTGATTCTAGCAACCAGCGAAAAAGTTTCAATATAGTCAATCCCGAGTTGCTGATTGTAGCCCTTGGCTACTAGGCGAGCTTTATATCTTTCATCTTGACTTTGTACACCCATTTACACCTTATAGGTGTCTTCCCGGTAGGTAAATCAACCAACTTCCAGGTGTTATTATCCTGCAGAGCTTGGATTTCTTTGTTCATGGCCTCCTTCTAGTGATTGTGGTTGATAGCTTGGTTGTAGGTTTTTGGCTCGTTGATTGATGTCACAGCTATGGAAAATGCCTTATGACATGTAGTTAAGACATCAAAGGTTATGACTTGTGACAGAGAATGAGGGGATGAACCTTTGTGGACTACTGCATCACAATAGTAATCCTGAAGCTTACTTGGAATCCGTCGTTGGCTATCAGACCTTCTTGGTGGTTCTACTATCAAGGTGGTATCATTTTCTTCTGCTGAGGCAATGTCACGCTTCTCCATTTCCCGCAAGGTTTCATTAGAGCCAATCACTTCATCAAAACTATTTTGCTGTGTAGGTGAATCAATGCTCGGAGCCTGCACTTGAGGGGTTATACTGCAGTTTGGTGAGCTGGTATTGTGAGGTGGACTGGTATTTGAAACATGCACTTGAAGTGGTTCATAGATCATAGGAGTATTAACAGGAATAAGTGGAAGAGGATGTCCAGTAGGTTCTAACTCAGCCACATCTGTTGAGAGAGCTTCCTGGGAGAATGGAAAGAATAACTCATGAAATACCACATCTCTTGATATAAAGATATTTTTAGCATGCAAATCATATAGCAAATAACCCTTAGTGTGAGCAGGTATTCCAACAAAAACACATCTTCTACTTCGCTGCTCCATTTTATGCCTAGAGGGTGACAAATTGGATGCATAACAAAGACATCCAAACACTTTGAGATTCATCAAATCTGGATTCTTGCCATATAGTCTACAGTAAGGATTAGACAGCTCAATGACCGGTGAAGGTAATCTATTTATGATGAAGGAAGCGTGCATCACACAATGTCCCCAAAAATTAAGAGGTAAGGATGCTTGGAACCGAATAGCTCTTGCTACATTAAGTATGTGTTCATGTTTCCGCTCAACCACTGCATTTTGCTGCGACGTGTAGGCACATGATTTCTGATGGATAATCCCTTTTTTCTGCAAAAAACTCTGCCATATTGAACTCTGCTCCATTATCCGTCCGGATGGTTTTAATTAGGACTCCAAATTGAGTAAACATCATTGCATGAAACTTCATTATGCATTGTCTGACCTCCGTTTTATTTCTCATCAAATGCAGCCAAGTAAAACGAGAGTAATCGTCAACCAAAGTTAGGAAATAACGCTCTCCTTTCAATGAACAAACTGAGAAAGGGCCCCAAACATCTGCATGTATAAGATCAAAGGATGCTTATGAATTTGTAACACTTAGGGGGAAGGGTGAGCGTTTGTGTTTGGCAAGGTGACAAGCATCAAAGATAAAATTCTTAGTAATTGAAGCTTTGATGTCACGTAAAAGCTGAAGCTTATTCATAGGAAAGTGTCCTAATCTTTGGTGCCAGATTACACCACTGTTACATTGTGCTGCATTACTACTTCGAAAAACATCATGTGTCTTTGGTGAATCTATTAGCAGATACAGACCATTCACTAGTTTAGCCAAACCAAATGTAGTCCCAATATCATCCTGAATCAGGTACTGACTGGATGTGAATATCAATTTGTAACAAGAGTCTTGCAAGAGTTTACTCACAGAGATCAAATTGAATTTGAAGGATGGGATGTGGAGAGTATCCTTCAATCTGATCTGCTTATTTAACATAATGTCCCCTATATTTTTTACTTTGATTGAATTTCCTGTAGGCAGGCTTACCTCAGCTCCACAAGTTGCTTGATAATTATCAAAGAAATCAATAGAGCATTCTATATGATCCGTTGCCCCGGAGTCTAGGATCCAAGTAGATGAAGATAATGAGATTGAATTCACATAAGATATAGGAAAATTGCCTTCATGATTAGGAGCAGAATTATCTTTGTTGAACTGTGAGATTAATGTCACAGCAGCTGTAGTCTTAGTATTTGAGGTTGGTGTGACGTGTGCTTGAACCACACTCTGTTGAACTGTGAGATTAATTTCACTCTGAAGTGCTGAATTTTTCAGGAGATTGATACGTCTCCAAGCTACATATTGAGTGTGCTCTCCGACCGGCGGCGTAATTGTACCGTCTGTATCTAGGCCTTCCATGATGGAGCTCCTCTGCGGCGGAATCTGGTTCCTCTGCGGAACGATTGTGGACGATGATCGAACCAGTGTGGAGCTTCTCTGCCGCGGAATCTGGTTCCTCTGCGGAACGATTGTGGACGATGATCGAACCAGTGAGCGGGTGATAGGCATTGCTGCACGACTTTCTTGATCCGTCTCACTGGAAACAATGGCGGCGTAGCTACTATGTGGCGTCGGCTCTGATACCATAACAGAAATGGTGATGTACGCAAGGTGGAAGAAAATATCTAAACAAACTCATTTATTCAAGATGGTTCTGGAAAAATGAAGGACGGTGTTTATATACAAGCAGGTGGCGGTTGTAACAGAATAGAAAATAAGATGATAAAGGTCAATTTTTCCCTCCTTTGTTCTCTTGAGCTTCATCACTTTTATTCTCCAACAGTGTTGCCTCAACCGCACCCACGAGGGACAACAGAGAAAAAAAATGAAGACATAACACAAAAATCATGTCCATAATGTCTAGCTTCAGTCATACTTAAATTGACTACATCATCTTCTGTCCTATTACACCATCCTCCAACAATAAATTGTTTGCGGATTTGACGAATACGTTGAAGTTGGGAAGTTGGAGATAACTCCTTAATTTTCCACCCAAATTTAAGGGTAAAATATATACTAATATAGCATCTAATACACCACAATGATAGGGGAGGTAATAGATCCAAATTTTCCATACTTCTTTCCAAAAAGGTTGAACCCCACAGAGGCTAGACCTTTGCTTACTGCATGCGCATAATGAGCCCCCTCACTTTGAGAGGGCATAATGAGTCCTCACTTTGAGAGGGCATAATGAGTCCCCTCACTTTGAGAGGTAGCTCTCACACTACCGCTGGTGAAATTCGATCCCTAATCACATTCTTTACAACTTTCACCTCTATGACCAGTTGAGTTGTCTATACGAGTACCAAATTTTCCATACTTCGATTTATCAACTAGCGGCAGAATTACGAAAGATATCAATGCATATGTACTTAGTAATGCAAAAGTGACAACTGCAAACAAAAAATCGATAAATAATGCGGTAGGAGAATCCTCATATTGAGATGCATGTGATGGGAGGAGGAGGATGATGCTTCAATTCTGCTGCCATTGTACATGCAATATCTTTAATAACTTAAACTCAAAGGCACCCAAATAAGGTTTGATCAGCATCACTCGCACAAAGGCTTTAAAAAGATAGGAAAATATTGTTATTATTATTCGTGATAATTTTAGGATTTTATTTTGGTTAGGATTCTAATCATATAGTAATTCTACCAAACAATTAATTTGATTTTATTTAGGAATTGAATATATTTAATTTCTTAATCATATAGTAATTTTTCCAAACTTTAATAACTACTAGTTTGGTGAACAAGGATATTGGATCCAATGAGACCCCTAGTTAAGTGAGATGATGAGATTTGATCCTGAGCATTCATTTTTTTATTTTAACGGTTCAGATTTCAGAATTTTTTATTTGTAAATGGTTGATCTGTAATATACTTAGGGTATGTAGTTGAGTAATTTTGCACACACATTTATTTATTTCCTTATCAAAATTATGATATTTTATTTGTTTCCTTTTGCGTATATTTTTCTTCAGAGCCGATAGTTGCCTTTCTTCTCGGTTTTTCTTCTTCTTGAGAGTCGCAGCTGCTCTCCTCTCCTTGCCACCGGCCACCAGCTTCCCGGTCTCCGTCTTCACTCTCATCCCTCCTCAGTTGCCGATCGTGAGCCGCCTCCGTCTTCACCACTGTCCAGTCACCGCCTCGCCTCAGGTTCGTAGTCTCGTTCTCAACTTCTCGTTCATACTTGATTGGCCAGAGAGCGAACAAGGAGATCAATTCTGTCGGCGTTATCAATGTAAGCTACTTCTTGTTTTGCTTCGATACTTCGGTCTCTTAGTTTTACTTTCTTTAATTTGCTTTTTTTCTGGAAATCAATTTTGCTTAATTACGTTTTCTCGTTGGAGTTTTAGTTATGGGGATCTCTTGATTGTGATGATGAATTACTAATTATTTTTTCTGTTAAAGTAGCATGATTTTCTATGAAAGTAACGATCTCGTGTTGCCGGTGAGTCAGTCGGTCATGGATGATCTTAGCCTTATCAGCGACTTAGGCAGTTTGAGCATTTTCTGTTTCACGTTTAGGTTTTGAGGTTATTATCTGAATAAAAGAATTTTCCATAAAGAAGATTAGACTCTGTTGATTAATTTCAATTCCATGTTTTCATTAACTATTGGTAATCTGTTTCAATTGGGAATATCAGAAATTATTTGCTGCATACTTTGAACTATAGAAGTACTGTAATACAATTGAGATGGTGTGATGTTAGGGTATCAAAACACGCAAAGCTAGTAATGTGTAAAACCGAATGCAATGTTTCGGAATTCTGATTTGAACAATTAGTATATTCAGAATGAATAGTG